ACCCACAACAGAAAACGGGACAGTATGTCAATTTCGTGAGCCGCTTCCATTTTCCAGTACGACGATTTTTGGCCTTAGAGTATACGTCAGGAATGCGACGTTCTATTTGGAGGACGAGTGTAGAGGCAGACGCACGTAGCAAGTCATAACTTGGAACATGTCTAGAGGACTTAGGTAGATATGAATGTCACTCTTGACCTGCTACATGGGTAACAGCTTCTCCCCCGAATCAACCTGGCTTTGCGCCCTGGTGAGGCCACTCCAGACCGACAACCAGAGCGCAACTCCATAGTCTCCTGGGACTGATGGATGCCTACTATTTGACACACGTTGTGATCCCTACTGCCCCTTTTTTCGACGATGGTTGAGTAATTAGTGTTTATGGTGCGTGGGGGAAGCCTTTAGTGGGATCCCAGCACACGAAGAGACCGGAGCCACTTATCTTGAGGTTATCTTGAGATGATTTCTGGGCTTTAGTGTCCCCGCGGCCCGGTCCTCGACCAGGCCTCCACCCCCAGGAAGCAGCCCGTGACAGCTGACTAACACCCAGTTACCTATTTTACTGCTAGGTAACAGGGGCATAGGGTGAAAGAAACTCTGCCCATTGTTTCTCGCCGGCGCCTGGGATCGAACCCAGGACCACAAGATCACAAGTCCAGTGTGCTGTCCGCTCGGCCGACCGGCGCCACACTTGGAGAACATTTCGAGTGTTATGAGCTGTGAGTGACGGCCGGTATTTAGTATGCATACACAGACACGCTGGCGGCTGGTGTAATGGGTATTTGCTCAGTGTTTATGAGGACGGGCGGCTTTATGAATAAAATAACACTTTACACACCACTCACACCTCACTACGCTCGAACAGTTCTGCAACAGTGAACAAAAGTCAGTGCTTCCTGAGTTTTGTGCAACCCTTCCTCAGGATGGGTTGCACAAAAAGATGGCTTTCTGACGAGCAATTTAAATCCTTCCTAAGTCAAATGAACCAAAATGAGCTGTGTTTTCAACTGGGTGTGACCCAAGCTGGCTGACCTGTGAAGCTGTTGATGTGGAGTTGACTATGTGAACTGTCTATCTCTAAAGTTTTGTTTTTTTGTTTTTGTTTTTAGGTCGGCGTTCAATTCCCGACCTTCCAAGTGGTTGGGCACCATTCCTTCCCCCCCGTCCCATCCCAAAATCCTTATCTTGACCCCTTCCCTGTGCTATATAGTCGTAATGGCTTGGCGCTTTCCCCCCTGATAGTTCCCTTCCCTTCTCCTTCTCTCTAAAGTTGTTAGTGATTAGTGCTTCTCACATTGTCTAATGTAAACTGATATACTTAATTTCAACAATTCATATTTTATTGTATAGGTTTTACGCTAATATGTTTTGCACTAATTTTATCATGTATATCTGTGTCTAGGAGTAGATATGGGTCTTGACTAGGCGGAAACATCTCCACTTTCCTTACCATATGTGTGAGTTTAGCTTTTCCGCCCTCGATCTTGCTACTTCTCAGTTAAATTAGAACTTTATGACGTTTTATGAAACGTAGAGAAAAAGAACAATCATTTAGTGCCGTATGTATAATTATAATAAAACAAATGCAAATAAACTAACATTTCAGTAACACCCAGCAACACAGCTGAAAAGTAACACCCAGAACCCAGCGTGTAGCACAGATAATGAACTTACAAACACGGGGTTTTGTAAGTTTTATTCCATTCTTCTCTCTCAGTTTGTGAAGCTTCTTTCTGCAAGTTCTAATATTGTAATTCAGTCATGTTATTCGGTACTCCAATAACATTGTCCTCCTAAGCTGTCCCGTACAAGTCATAATGGTGTACTGAACGTAAAAGGGACCCAGACAGAGCTAAAGTCTACATTCCTCTTTTTGTCCCGGCTTCACCGACGACCTGACAGCGTCCACAAAGGAACCCAGGAAAATTATCTTGTGGTTGCTGTTCGGATGTCCCTCATTTGTATAGAAATATCCTCTTGCGCCAGTCACTAAACACGATCTGTGTAGTAAGGGAACACTGACCAGCCAGAGGGATGATCTCTCACGAGTATTGAGGCGCCAGTGTGACGCCCGCGTTCCCGCCAGAATGGGTCGAGGAAGACGGTCGGGGGCCCCCTCGCTGGTCCCTTGATTGCAACCGCCCTCCCATTACAGAAAATTAGCATAATAGAAATTCTTTCGAGTCAATCAGGGTTCGAGCGGTTCGCTTATATTCGGAGGAGCTCCGCCATTACTGTTCCCGAGCAGTGGTTTTCTGCCCAACTTATGACATGCTGGACCAGACGCCCAAGGGTTTCCCGCCAAAATTACGATGTGCTGCAATCACGAAGGAGTGGACGTTCTTGCGGCCTTCCCGGGATAAGTGGGCATCACAGGGGCTCGCTGTCTCTCTCGCGGCTTCATTTTTCCTTCAAAGGCCTCCCAAAGAACTGTGATTAGTTAAGTTTGTAGCTCCTACACCGACAATTGTAGTCAAGTGATGTCGAAATTCTTTCTTGGTCAAGACCCTAAGCAATCCGGCCCTGACCAGAAACTTGAGGACTCCGGGCGATCATAACATGCAAATAGGCACCAGACCTCTGCCCGTGACCTATAGCAGGAGCCAGACCTCTGGCTGTGACCTATAGCAGGAGCCAGACCTCTGCCCGTGACCTATAGCAGGAGCCAGACCTCTGCCCGTGACCTATAGCAGGAGCCAGACCTCTGCCCGTGACCTATAGCAGGAGCCAGACCTCTGCCTGTGACCTCTAGCAGGAGCCAGACCTCTGCCCGTGACCTGTAGCAGGAGCAAGAACTTTGTCTGTGACCAGCAGGAGCAGGAGCCAGACCTCTGCCTGTGACCTCTAGCAGGAGCCAGACCTCTGCCTGTGACCTCTAGCAGGAGCCAGACCTCTGCCCGTGACCTCCACCAGCAGCAGGAGCCAGACCTCTGCCCGTGACCTCTAGCAGGAGCCAGACCTCTGCCCGTGACCTCCACCAGCAGCAGGAGCCAGACCTCTGCCCGTGACCTCCACCAGCAGCAGGAGCCAGACCTCTGCCCGTGACCTCCACCAGCAGCAGGAGCCAGACCTCTGCCCGTGACCTCTAGCAGGAGCCAGACCTGAGCCTGAGACCTCCAGCAGTAAGGGTGATCAGACTCTTGGGTTTATCACGGTATACAAAACACCAACTCTAAAACCCATCACAGAGACTACAAAAGTACTGAGAAACAACAACGAACTATCAACTGATAATCATGCAATTAGACCATTATATCCGCCATGGATTAATGAGATGCAAAGGTCGTCTAGAATACTTTATTAAATAATGCTAAATATTAAACATATTCGGCGACAAATATCATTCGTCAGTCTATTAGCGAGAATTGGTCTATCTTCCCCTCTGCTGCTAATGACCTCGGCGACGTTGGTAAGTCAGACGCCAGTAACGAGCACATCTTGAGACGTTGGTAAGTCAGACGCCAGTAACGAGCACATCTTGAGACGTTGGTAAGTCAGACGCCAGTAACGAGCACATCTTGAGACGTTGGTAAGTCAGACGCCAGTAACGAGCACATCTTGAGACGTTGGTAAGTCAGACGCCAGTAACGAGCACATCTTGAGACGTTGGTAAGTCAGACGCCAGTAACGAGCACATCTTGAGACGTTGGTAAGTCAGACGCCAGTAACGAGCACATCTTGAGACGTTGGTAAGTCAGACGCCAGTAACGAGCACATCTTGAGACGTTGGTAAGTCAGACGCCAGTAACGAGCACATCTTGAGACGCCAGGGAAGATATCGTCCAATGAAAGCTGCTTGGTACTCACCTAGTTGTGTTTGCGGGGGTTGAGCTCTGGCTCTTTGGTCCCAGTGTTGTCACGAGGCTAAGATTAACACGCGTGTTTAAGATGGGCTGAAGAACGTGTTGGGAAGGGCTTTAATATTTAGTAACGAACTCATCAACAAAGTCTAAATGCTCATTAATCCAGCCGCCAACCCCCAACCCCCCATTTCCTTGTTTATGAATGACAAGACTTTATTCACGACTCACAACTGCATGATGGCGTTCAAACTTTTTTCGAACTGTCTTTCGCACACGTCCTGTGTTCGAATACCTTTGTGAATGCTTCTTGTATGTATGGAGCCGGTCGGCCGAGCGGACAGCACACTGTACTTGTGATCCTGTGGTCCTGGGTTCGATCCCGCGCGCCAGAGAGAAACAACGGGCAGAGTTTCTTTCACCCTATGCCCCTGTTACCTAGCAGTAAAATAGGTACCTGGGTGTTAGTCAGCTGTCACGGGCTGCTTCCTGGGGGTGGAGGCCTGGTCGAGGACCGGGCCGCGGGGAGACTAAAGCCCCGAAATCATCTCAAGATAACCTCAAGATATGTACTGCTACATAGTCATCCCAGCTTACTGCTGCCGTCTTTTGATAATTACTCCACATATGCGCTACAAATACAAATAATTGCTAAGAGAACCTTAAACATCTAACCCAGCCTAACCTAACCTAACCTAACCTAGCCTAACCTAACCTAACCTAACCTAACCTAACCTAATCTAGGCCTAGACACACAATTCTAATTTAACTTTACATTTTAAAAAAGTACCGATTTTGAATAGACAGTAAGTTCAAACTGATGGCTGCGCTTTGAGGGTCGGCCGCCGCTTGAAGGAGCCTAGCATGAGGACGTGTTCCGTTGTGTGTCTGTAATCCTGGACTGGTGGCCACCACCCCCCTCCCCCTGTCTCACCCACCATGCCCATATTTACCTAAATTTAGATTTAGAGACCTTATTCGTTAATGATTTATACAAATTGCAGTTGTACACATAGCACCGCTCCCGTGCCGGGTAAGTTACGGGCTCACCATAGCCCGTGCTACTTGCCCCGCTCCTGTGCCAGGTAAGTTACGGGCTCACCATAGCCCGTGCTACTTGGAACTTGTTCCGAGTAGCTGAATCTATAACAAAAACAACATGCAGTTGTGGCTGTAGCGTGCATTTGTGTGTACTTACAGTGACGTGCGCAGGTGTTCGGTGCGGTGAGGACCGCAAGTGCGTGGTGCGGTGCGGCTCCCCGCGGTGTGTGTGCTCCCCGCAGTGCCACCTCCAGCACAAGGAGGCCGTGTGTGGCTCCGACGGCCGCACCTACAAGTCTGAGTGCCACCTGCTCAAGCGGGCCTGTAGGAAGAAGAAGAGGCTCCTCGTGGCGCACTATGGACCGTGTCAGAGTACGTATATGCCTTCATTCCTCTCCCTCAGTCCAGGGGGGAGACATCTCCCGTCCACGAGGCTCACCATAGCCCGTGCTTCTTGCCCCGCTCCTGTGCCAGGTAAGTTACGGGCTCACCATAGCCCGTGCTACTTGGACCTTGTTCCGAGTAGCTTAATCTATAACAACAGTCCCTCAGTCTCCACTCCGACCACTTGGGATGGACGGTAGAGCGACGGTTTTGCTTCATGCAGGTCGGCGTTCAATCCCTGACCGTCCAAGTGGTTGGGCACCATTCCTTTCCCTCCGTCCCATCCCAAATCCTTATCCTGATCCCTTCCCAGTGCTATATAGTCGTAATGGCTCGGCGCTTTCCCCTGATATAATTCCCATCCACTTGCAGGAGTGGTTGGTAGAGCGACGGGCTTACCGTTTGGGCCACAATGGTCCAAGTGGCTAGCCACAACTCCTTCCCTCATTCGTATCCCAGATCCTTGTTCTCATATCCCTTCCAAGAACTACATAATAGTTGCTTAGATTGACTGAGGAAGATTAAGCCACCCAAGAGGTGGCACGGGCATGAATAGCCCGTTAAAGTAGGCTTGCTTAGCACTGTCAGTACACGGGGGAGACATCTCCCGTCACGCAGGGTGCAGTCGCACCTCCGCAGATCTCCAGTATCAGCTCTTGATACTGGTAATGGCTCAAAAGGGCCTCCACTTACGGGCTATTCGTGCCCGTGCCACCTTTTGGGTGGCTTAATCTTCATCAATCAATCAATCAATCGCTGTCAGTTGTTTAGTTGCTTAGCGCTGTCAGCTATTGACCACCTCACCTTACTCAACACTTCTACATCTGGCAATCACCATCATCCGGCTTTCAGAGAAGTCGTAATTTATTCGGTAAGGAGTTAACATTATTTTCTTGTTAGAGCTAATCAGAATCTCAGAATCGTGAATACAAGTCACCAAGGCATAGTGGCCAATTACGGGCTATTCATGCCCGTGCCACCTCTTGGGTGGCTTAATCTTCATCAATCAATCAGTGGCCCAACCCCACATGGGTGGAAGCAAAGTGTCGACGTTTCGGTCCAGGAAAATAATGAGGTCATACAATGAGATCGAACCTACGTTTCTAGATCGGCCCCACAGGCACCTGTACTACCGATTGAACCCATGATGTTGTATCATAATGATTACAGTCCTTAATCCTGTAAGGATGATAACTCCTAATGTAACAAGCTGAAACTAGTAGACCAGATATTTTGTAAGTGTCTTCGCGGTAACTGTCTTTGAGGGAGCCGGTCGGCCGAGCGGACAGCGCGCTGTACTTGTGATCCTGTGGTCCTGGGTTCGATCCCAGGCGCCGGCGAGAAACAATGGGCAGAGTTTCTTTCACCCTATGCTCCTGTTACCTACCAGTAAAATAGGTACCTGGGTGTTAGTCAGCTGTCACGGGCTGCTTCCTGGGGGTGGAGGCCTGGTCGAGGACCGGGCCGCGGGGACACTAAAAAGCCCCGAAATCATCTCAAGATAACGTCAAGATGGGCTGCGGTGAGTATAATATCTTTACCCCCATCATAGTATGCTGGTGGGCCCACAGGGACGCTGGGCCTGTCTTGTGAGCCCACAGGGACGCTGGACTTGTCTGTGAGCCCACAAGGACGCTAGAGATCCCTGTGAGCCCACAGGGATGCTGGTGTTTCAATTCCCCCTTTCCGAAATGTCTGGTCCGGTACGATAGCGTCTCTAGTCCCGTACGCCAACCCTTACGCAGCGGCGCACCTGCTAAAGGCGCGCTGAGATCCGTGCGCGCGTATGGGGCCCGCCATTGTCGACTGCGTCACCGCATGCGGAAATAAAAATATCAGTTCCATTCATCAAAGACAAAAGCACATTGTTGGCGAATGAGACGATGATTTATGGTAAGGCATTGTGTGGGGGATTTACGAGCCCATAACTTGGCCTTATTTACGAACCCCAATTGGCATCGTATATCACCAAGTGGGCCTATTGTCCCCGCGGTAATTCAATATCTCACAAAGAACCCGGAAGCAATTATCTGTTGTTTATGTGTAAAGAAAACGATTAATGGGAAATTTGGTCTTTATGGGAAACTGATGTAACTTGGCATAGAGCCCAAAGCTGTCGTATCTCGCTTTATGTAATACGCGCGGTATGAGGAGCGCCTCTTCCTGGACGGTACATAGGGACGTCTGACTGGACGGTACATAGGGACGTCTGACTGGACGGTACATAGGGACGTCTGTGTGGACGGTACATGAGGAACGTCTGACTGGACGGTACATAGGGACGTCTGTGTGGACGGTACTTGAGGAACGTCTGTGTGGACGGTACATGAGGAACGTCTGACTGGACGGTACATAGGGACGTCTGTGTGGATGGTATATAGGGACGTCTGACTGGACGGCACATAGGGACGTCTGACTGGACGGCACATAGGGACGTCTGACTGGACGGCACATAGGGACGTCTGACTGGACGGTACATAGGGACGTCTGACTGGACGGTACATAGGGACGTCTGACTGGACGGTACATAGGGACGTCTGTGTGGATGGTATATAGGGACGTCTGACTGGACGGTACATAGGGACGTCTGACTGGACGGCACATAGGGACGTCTGTGTGGATGGTATATAGGGACGTCTGACTGGACGGTACATGAAGAACGTAATAGGTATAAGCCGCACCAGCCCCTCTCCCTTCTCCTCTCTCTCATTGGCCGTGACCCCAACCTCAAGATGAAATTCATATTAATTAATTCTATGAACCCAAAAAAGCTTACCATTACCTTGGAGGGAGAGAGGTACAAGGTAGGGGAGGAGGCAAGAGGCTCTCTCTCTCAAGGGGGTGTCACCTCACCCATTACAGCCCCTTCCCCTTCCCTTCCTTTCCCTTCCTTCCCTTCCCTTCCCTTCCTCCCCTTCCCTTCCCTTCCATGACTGTCACTCACATATATTGACACACATCTGTTTTCCTTTTAGGACATCTCTTCCCCGCCTCCCTTCCCTCTCCCTCCCTCTCTGTCTCCTCTCATATCCCTCCCTCCCTCTCCCATCCCTTCCTCCCGCCCTTTCTGGGAAAATTTGATTCTGGGAAGGGCAAATTATTTATTAAACACGTTGATAGCCAACATTATGCTTGGCCTGAGTCCCACACGCGGCTGTCAACACCACAACCCCTTTCCCCCCTCATCACATCGCCCTTCGCTATGTGCTTGCAGCGTGCATTGGCGTGCGTTGCGGGACGGGGAAGAAGTGCGTGTTGGACGAGCAGATGACCCCCAGGTGCGTGCGCTGCCCGACCACCTGCCCCGCACTCGACAAGTCTCGCCCCATCTGCGCCGCCGACAATCGCACCTACCTCTCCCCCTGTCACCTGAAGAGGGCCTCCTGCCGCGCCGCCGCCGAGATCCCCAGGGCTTACAAGGGCCCCTGTAGAGGTAGGTCCCTAGTCTTGTTTATAAGGGTCCCTGTAGAGGTAGGTCCCCTAGTCTTGTTTATAAGGGTTCCTGTAGAGGTAGGTCCCTAGTCTTGTTTATAAGGGCTCCTGTAGAGGTAGGTCCCTAGTCTTGTTTATAAGGGTCCCTGTAGAGGTAGGTCCCCTAGTCTTGTTTATAAGGGCCCCTGTAGAGGTAGGTCCCTAGTCTTGTTTATAAGGGTCCCTGTAGAGGTAGGTCCCTAGTCTTGTTTATAAGGGCTCCTGTAGAGGTAGGTCCCCTAGTCTTGTTTATAAGGGACCCTGTAGAGGTAGGTCCCTAGTCTTGTTTATAAGGGACCCCTGTAGAGGTAGGTCCCCTAGTCTTGTTTACAAGGACCCCTGTAGAGGTAGGTCCCTAGTCTTGTTTATAAGGGCCCCTGTAGAGGTAGGTCCCTAGTCTTGTTTATAAGGGACCCTGTAGAGGTAGGTCCCCTAGTCTTGTTTATAAGGGACCCTGTAGAGGTAGGTCCCTAGTCTTGTTTATAAGGGACCCTGTAGAGGTAGGTCCCCTAGTCTTGTTTATAAGGGACCCTGTAGAGGTAGGTCCCCTAGTCTTGTTTATAAGGGACCCTGTAGAGGTAGGTCCCTAGTCTTGTTTATAAGGGCTCCTGTAGAGGTAGGTCCCTAGTCTTGTTTATAAGGACCCCTGTAGAGGTTGGTCCCTAGTCTTGTTTATAAGGACCCCTGTAGAGGTTGGTCCCTAGTCTTGTTTATATGGGTCCCTAGTCTTGTTTATAAGGGTCCCTGTAGAGGTAGGTCCCTAGTCTTGTTTATAAGGGCTCCTGTAGAGGTAGGTCCCTAGTCTTGTTTATAAGGGTCCCTGTAGAGGTAGGTCCCCTAGTCTTGTTTATAAGGGCTCCTGTAGAGGTAGGTCCCCTAGTCTTGTTTATAAGGGCTCCTGTAGAGGTAGGTCCCCTAGTCTTGTTTATAAGGGCTCCTGTAGAGGTAGGTCCCTAGTCTTGTTTATAAGGGCTCCTGTAGAGGTAGGTCCCTAGTCTTGTTTATAAGGACCCCTGTAGAGGTTGGTCCCTAGTCTTGTTTATATGGGTCCCTAGTCTTGTTTATAAGGGTCCCTGTAGAGGTAGGTCCCCTAGTCTTGTTTATAAGGGCCCCTGTAGAGGTAGGTCCCTAGTCTTGTTTATAAGGGCCCCTGTAGAGGTAGGTCCCTAGTCTTGTTTATAAGGGACCCCTGTAGAGGTAGGTCCCCTAGTCTTGTTTACAAGGACCCCTGTAGAGGTAGGTCCCTAGTCTTGTTTATAAGGGACCCTGTAGAGGTAGGTCCCTAGTCTTGTTTATAAGGGTCCCTGTAGAGGTAGGTCCCTAGTCTTGTTTATAAGGGCTCCTGTAGAGGTAGGTCCCTAGTCTTGTTTATAAGGGACCCTGTAGAGGTAGGTCCCCTAGTCTTGTTTATAAGGGTCCCTGTAGAGGTAGGTCCCTAGTCTTGTTTATAAGGGCTCCTGTAGAGGTAGGTCCCTAGTCTTGTTTATAAGGGTCCCTGTAGAGGTAGGTCCCTAGTCTTGTTTATAAGGGTCCCTGTAGAGGTACGTCCCTAGTCTTGTTTACAAGGACCCCTGTAGAGGTAGGTCCCTAGTCTTGTTTATAAGGGACCCTGTAGAGGTAGGTCCCCTAGTCTTGTTTATAAGGGACCCTGTAGAGGTAGGTCCCTAGTCTTGTTTATAAGGGACCCTGTAGAGGTAGGTCCCCTAGTCTTGTTTATAAGGGTCCCTGTAGAGGTAGGTCCCTAGTCTTGTTTATAAGGGTCCCTGTAGAGGTAGGTCCCCTAGTCTTGTTTATAAGGGACCCTGTAGAGGTAGGTCCCCTAGTCTTGTTTATAAGGGTCCCTGTAGAGGTAGGTCCCCTAGTCTTGTTTATAAGGGCTCCTGTAGAGGTAGGTCCCTAGTCTTGTTTATAAGGACCCCTGTAGAGGTAGGTCCCTAGTCTTGTTTATAAGGGTCCCTGTAGAGGTAGGTTCGGTTAGGTTGCGGTCTAACCTGTCCTCAAAGCTCATAGTTTATGCATGTCGCCTTTCTTGAAGCATATCTCTGGATTTTCTCAAAATGTATCTGTAGCAGTATGTGTAGCAGTAGCAGTAGCAGTATGTGTGTAGCAGTAGCAGTAGCAGTAGCAGTATGTGTGTATGTGTGTTGTAGAGATGTGTACATGAGCAGGAGTGTGTGTATGTGTACACAAGGAGGGGGGTGTGTATGTGTGTGTCCACCATAAAGAGTGCCTCTGCCCCCCGCCAGAGGACGCGTCGTGCAGCGACGTGAGGTGCTGGCGGGATCAACAGTGCCTGACGCGGGTGTCGACGGGGAAGCCGCAGTGTACCACATGCGGCTCTTTGGATTCCTGTCGCCCGTCTTCCCGCCCTGTCTGCGCCACAAATGGCCGCGTCTACCCCTCCTGGTGCGCCTTCAGACACGAGGCCTGTCGCTCAGGACGGGCACTCATACCCACACTCCACCAGCACTGTGCAGCCAGTGAGTATCCCTCCGCCAGTATGTGAGTGTCGCGGTATTCGTCATATCTTTTAAATTTTGTCAATTTTGCCCCGAGGGGCGAGTTTATTGGGCAGCGCCACTCGTCCTGTGAGTGGACACACCGCCATAGTGACAGTATTGGGCAGCGCCACTCATCCTGTGAGTGGACACACCGCCATAGTGACAGTATTGGGCAGCGTCACTCATCCTGTGAGTGGACACACCGCCATAGTGACAGTATTGGGCAGCGCCACTCATCCTGTGAGTGGACACACCGCCATAGTGACAGTATTGAGCAGCGTCACTCATCCTGTGAGTGGACACACCGTCATAGTGACAGTATTGGGCAGCGTCACTCATCCTGTGAGTGGACACACCGCCATAGTGACAGTATTGGGCAGCGTCACTCATCCTGTGAGTGGACACACCGCCATAGTGACAGTATTGGGCAGCGCCACTCATCCTGTGAGTGGACACACCGCCATAGTGACAGTATTGGGCAGCGTCACTCATCCTGTGAGTGGACACACCGCCATAGTGACAGTATTGGGCAGCGCCACTCATCCTGTGAGTGGACACACCGCCATAGTGACAGTATTGAGCAGCGTCACTCATCCTGTGAGTGGACACACCGTCATAGTGACAGTATTGGGCAGCGTCACTCATCCTGTGAGTGGACACACCGCCATAGTGACAGTATTGGGCAGCGCCACTCATCCTGTGAGTGGACACACCGCCATAGTGACAGTATTGGGCAGCGTCACTCATCCTGTGAGTGGACACACCGCCATAGTGACAGTATTGGGCAGCGCCACTCATCCTGTGAGTGGACCCACCGCCATAGCAGCATGTACAACACTCCCCAATAGGAAGAAAACCCGCTGGGTTGTTCATCCTGTCACTTGTACCCAGACACAGCTGGGACTTGCTTATCTTTAATGCTACGACTTCCAGTACTGTAGCACAGTAGTCTACGTCTTCGTCTCACAACCGAGGGACTCCGGTTCAGTCTCTGGAGAGGAGAGAACCGACTGTAAACGTTTATTGACAATAATAATCTTGGGTTGTGGAGTTTACAAGCTCGTAAACTTTAATAAATGCAGCCAAACTCCCTTGACCCACCTCACTGTACCACCCTGACCCACCTCACTGTATCTTCCCGACCCACCTCACTGCATCTCCCTGACCCACCTCACTGCATCTCCCTGACCCACCTCACTGCATCTCCTTGACCCAACTCACTGCATCTCCCGACCAACCTCACTGCATCTCCCTGACCCACCTCACTGTATCACCCTGACCCACCTCACTGCACCACCCTGACCCACCATATTGTATCTTCCTGTCCCACCCCCACCACTCCCAGTACCACAATCACCACACCCACACCACCACCACACCCCCACCACACCCCCACAACCCCCCCCCCCCACCACCACCACCACAAACCACAAACTACCAACGCCTCTTAATGTTAGTTCTGGTTCAGACGATAACAAGTAATTTTCTAGTCTATATTTTTTGCTTTATGACATCCTCGTCCTTGTGAGTTGTACCGTGTTCAAGGTGTATGAGGAATGATGATTGGCAGGGGTGGGGGTGGGGTGGGGGTGGGTCAGACTAGAGGGGGGTCAGACTAGGGGGGGAGGTCAGACTAGGGGGGGAGGGGGGCTAATATGTTGTTATGCAGCTTCATAAGCAACAACAACACAACAACTAGGCTTATTATCAGCAGCTGTTTGGGTGACATAATCAAACTGAAAAGTGGAGTGCCACAAGGAAGCTGCCTCTCCCCCTCACTTTTCAAGATACAGCTGACCTACCCCAACCCCAGCATGGAGAATACATCACATACGCTGACGATGTCACCCCAAATAATATGCCAACCGGGACCATCAGAGCCGCTACTAGCCGACAAGACCAAGGCATCTGACATCTCATAAATGATATCATCATGATATCAATCATAGATTGAACTCATAAACAATTTTCAAGAGCAATGGTAAATAAATACAAGCAAGCAAAAGTTCCAGAAAATATGTACTGCAAAAAAAGGAACCCAGACCCCCATTATCCTTGAGAACTGCCCAATCCAGTATGCAGATGTAGGCAGATTACTGGCACTCAGGATTAACTGAACGGGAATCAGGTCACGTTAAGAACGGAATAAGCAAAGCAAAAACTGTTTCAGGAAAACTGAGGAGATTCCGAAGCCTCAGCACAGACATGCAGCTTTGCTTACATAAGGCTCTAGTTCGGCCGCATCTAGAGTATCTCCCAGTACCACTACACACCATAAAGAAAACTAATATGCAGAAACTGCAAGCAGTGCAAAATAAGGCGCTAAGGAGAGCAGCAAAACACCGTCCACCATATGATCAGGCAATCCAGGAGCTCCAGGAACTCTGAACATACAGCCACTAAACATCAGACTGCAGCACCAAGCCATCAGGGTGTGGAACACCATCCAAATGTTAGAGGACCCAATGTTTGAAAGATTACTCCAAGATGAGACGCCCCGCTCCCACAGCTGGTGGCCCAAGATGAGACGCCCCACTCCCACAGCTGGTGGCCCAAGATGAGACACACACACACACACACCTAGCAGTAAAATAGGTACCTGGGTGTTAGTCAGCTGTCACGGGCTGCTTCCTGGGGGTGGAGGCCTGGTCGAGGACCGGGCCGCGGGGACACTAAAAAGCCCCGAAATCATCTCAAGATAACCTCAAGATAACCACACACACACACACATTTGGTAGCAGTCTTTCTTGTAAACATATGTGATTGAATATGACCGAGAAAGATTAATGATTCTAACACAAATCTTCTCAATATTTTTTTATGTTTTTCTTCACTGTCGGGGGTAATTGAAGAATTAACTCTCCAAAGTTCATTTTCACACTTTATTTATGGTCTGATGCCTAGAAGCGTTTTGCAAGAACACTTCTTACATTTTCAAAGACAATTTTACATACTCAGATCGAGCTTATATTGATTTTTGGGTGAAGCCCGCCTGCTTTCATACCTCTCACTGTATTTCCCACTTCTAAACTTCCCTTCACCTATGCCTCTCCATCTCTTTCTTCTCCCCCTTCCTCCCCTGCAAGCACATAGGGAGGGGGGGGGAAGGGGAGGAGGGGGGGGGGGGTGAAGGGATCATTTGCTCACTCAAAAACACGCACGCACGCAAGCACCCTTTTTGTCTTGCTCTGTCTCTTCCTCTTAACTGGCGTAGCGACGCGAGGAAGGTTCAGGGAGGGACTCAGCAAAAGCAAGTGATGGGAGGGAATATGGAGAATGCTCTCGTTCGTGACCCGGCTTTATGGAGAGGCTCGATGTGTGTTGTTTGACCAAGTGTGAGGTTGTGTTGTGGTCTTCCGGAGTGATGCAATTTCCTCTGGGCGGCTCCTCGCTGCGCAAAAACTAGTGCGCAGTGCCGGGTGCCCACTGGTGGCCTGGGGGGTATTGGTGGGCGCCTGTGACCTGCCCCACCCTGCCTGCTCTTGCTCCACGGACCTGCCCCGTCCTCCCCCACCCTGCCTGCTCTTGCTCCACGGACCTGCCCCGTCCTCCCCCACCCTGCCTGCTCTTGCTCCACGGACCTGCCCCGTCCTCCCCCACCCTGCCCTCTCTTGCTCCACGGACCTGCCAAACCATGCTATTTAGAATTAGATACCAAAGGTACCAGAGAAACCAAGGTATAGGGGGAAAATGAGGCATGAGGGAAGCCATTAAGGTACCAGGAAAGATGAGGTGTCAGGGAAGATAAGGCATCAGGAAAATATTGACCGGAAGTTTGATCTCGAAGGTGTCAATAAAGTATTCTATTCCTGAACCACTACCATCCCCCAGCACAGTTATGACAGGCAGCCGTGACAGGCAGCCGTGACAGGCAGCCGTGACAGGCAGCCTTGACAGGCAGCCGTGACAGGCAGCCGTGACAGGCAGCCGTGACAGGCAGCCGTGACAGGCAGCCGTGACAGGCAGCCTTGACAGGCAGCCGTGACAGGCAGCCGTGACAGGCAGCCGTGACAGGCAGCCGTGACAGGGAGCCGTATTAAAGAGCAGCTCGCGACAGCCAGCCATACAGACAGTCACCCAGACAGACTCTCACTGACTGACAGACGTAATAGATGTCTGAACCCTCCGGTGGTGATCAGGTCGCTGGGCGAGGACACCCGCTCAATCACTGGCCAGCCGCTCGAACTTTAACGCCACAGAAATATGCATATTTTGTCTTATTAAAGTTTTAAATGCGACGTGAGTTGAGGTGTGGTGATTGTAGGGGGGGGGGGTTGTAGGGGGGTGTTCCCTGGGGTGGGGGGGGGGGTTGTAGCTGGGTGTTCCCTGGGGGGGGGGTTTAGGGGGGTGTTCCCTGGGGTGGGGGGGGAGTTGTAGGGGGGTGTTCCCTGGGGTGGGGGGGTTGTAGGGGGGTGTCCCCTGGGGGGGGGGTTGTAGGGGGTGTCCCCTGGGGGGGGGTTGTAGGGGGGTGTTCCCTGGGGGGGGGTTGTAGGGGGGTGTCCCCTGGGGGGGGGGGGGTTGTAGGGGGGTGTTCCCTGGGGGGGGGTTGTAGGGGGGTGTTCCCTGGGGGGGGTTGTAGGGGGGTGTTCCCTGGGGGGGGTTGTAGGGGGGTGTTCCCTGGGGTGGGGGGGGGGGTTGTAGGGGGGTGTCCCCTGGGGTGGGGGGGGGTTGTACGGGGGTGTCCCCTGGGGGGGGGGTTGTAGGGGGGTGTTCCCTGGGGTGGGGGGGGGAGTTGTAGGGGGGTGTTCCCGGGGGGGGTTGTAGGGGGGTGTTCCCTGGGGGGAGGGGGGGGGAGGAATATTGGGAGCCGGGAAAGTGGACGATAAACTGCTTGAAAATGCAAAATATTACGTCAGTTTAGCATATTGCCAGATTTCAATGATTTGTGGCTCCTTCCCCAAGCATCAGAGCCTTCAGTGCTCTCCCTCTTTGCCTTCCTCTTCCTACCCTCCATTCCTCTCCCTTCCTCCCCTCTCTCC